TATATATTATATTATATTATATTTGAGAATTCTTGCATCCATGTTCATCAGGGATATTGGCCTCTAGTTCTCTTTCTTAGTGGAATCTTTGTCTGGTTTTGGAATCAGGGTAATGCTGCCTCTAAAATGAGTTACGAAGTTTTCTTTCAATTTCTATTTTTTGGAAAAGTTTGAGTAGAATAGGTATTAACTCTGATTTAAATGTTAGGTAGAATTCCCCTGGGAAGCCATCTGGCCCTGGATTTGGTTTGTTGGGGATTTTTGATTACTGATTCAGTTTCTTTGCTGGATATCGGTCTATTCGAATTTGGTATTTTTTCCTGCTGCAGTTTTGATATTTTATGTTTCTAGAAATTTATCTATTTGTTCCACGTAGTCTGATTTGTTAGAATATAATTCTTCATACTATAATCTTGTAATTGTATGTATTTCTATTGTGTTGGATGTTATTTCTCCTCGTATTATTTGTTTATTGGGGTTCTTTCTCTTTTAGGGGGCATATCGGTATTATTTTTTCAAGTAAACAGCTGGTTTCATTGATCTAAATATTTTTTTCACTTTCTATATCATTTATTTCTGTTCTAATCTTTATTACTTCCCTTCTTCTACTGGCTTCAGACTTCATTTGTTCTTTTTATAGCTCCTCCAGGTGTAAGGTTAGGTTTTTTGAGATTTTTCTTGTTTCTTGAGGTAGGCTTGTATTGCTGTATACTTCCCTCTTATGACTGCCTTTGCTGCATCCCAGAAGTTTTGGACCATTGTGTTTTCATTTTCATTTGTTGCCGTGTTTATTTTTTTTAATTTTTTTTTTTTTATTTCTTCATTCATTTCTTGGTTGACCCATTCATTCTTTAGTAGCATTCTTTAGTTGTTTAATCTCCATGTTTTTTTGGTCTTTGCAATTTTTTTCTTGAGATTGACTTCAAGTTTCACAGTGCCATGGCCAGAAAAGATGCATGGTACAATCTTATTTTTTTTTGTATGTGATGAAGCCTGATTTGTGACCTAGTATGTGATCTTTGCTGGAGAATGTCCCATGTGTATTTGGAAAGAAGGTGTATTTTGCTGCTTTAGAATGAAATGTTCTGATATATTTGTTTTGTGCATCTGGTCCAGTGTGTCATTCAAAGCCACTGTTTGCTTGTTGATTTTTTGCTTAGATGATGTGTCCATGGATGTAAATGAGGTGTTAAAGTCCCCTGCTATTACTGTATTATTATCAATGAGTTTCTTTATGTTTGTCATTAACTGTTTTATATATTTTGGTATTCCATGTTGGAATTCAATTTACAGTTGGCAGTAGTTCCGCTTGTTATGATGTAGTGCCCTTCTTCATCTCTGGTTATAGTCTTTGGTTTAAATGTAGTTTGTTTGGGGGCACCTGGTGGCTCAGTTGGTTAGATATCCAA